ATCCCTCACGCGGCAGAACGGTTACGACCATTAACCGATTTACTACGCGGTAATCCACGCAAATTCGAATTGAACGATACCGCACGTACTGCATTCTCAGAGATCAAAACGGCTCTCGCTGAAGTTACACTTCTCGCTCATCCTGACCCATCAGCCACGCTTAGTATAGCGGTTGATGCATCAGATTTCGCTATAGGAGCCGTTATGCAACAGAATATCTCCGGTAGTTGGCAACCGCTTGAATTTTTCTCACGACGCCTTACTCCCACGGAGACGAGATATAGCGCTTTTGGTCGCGAGCTGCTTGCAGCCTACTGCGCCATCAAACATTTCCGGCACGCAGTAGAAGGACGTCAATTCATCTTATTCACCGACCATAAGCCCTTAACGTATGCCCTACATACCAAGTCTGACCGCTACTCACCACGAGAGTGCAGACATTTGGACTATATCTCACAGTTCACGACAGACCTTCGTCACATTAAAGGCGAGTCGAACTATGTTGCCGATGCTCTTTCACGTATCCAAGTGAATGCAGTTACTTTACCGGTGCTCGATCTTCCTGCTATGGCCGCCGCGCAAGCAAACGATCCTGTCTGTACAGAAGCACCACAATCTTCGTCCCTTCAGTGTCAGGAAGTACCCCTAGCTACTAGCTCAGGTACTATCCTATGTGATATTTCTACCGGTCTTCCTCGACCCATCGTACCCTCTACCTATCGCCGTCTCGTCTTCGATGCCCTTCGTGGATTGTCTCGTCCAGGTATTGCAGCCACAATACGTCTCATCGCTGCACGATACGTCTGGCCGTCCATGAATAAAGATGTTCGTATGTGGGTAAAGCAATGCTTACAGTGTCAACGATCAAAAGTGCACAGGGACGTAGCTGCCCCCATTGGCACGTTCGCTACGCCTGATGCTCGCTTTGATCACGTTCATATAGACATTGTAGGACCATCGCCAGCATCGCATGGGTACGATCACATACTCACGTTCACAACCGTTTTACAAGATGGCCCGAAGCTATTCCCATCACGTCTATTACGGCGGAGACAGTTGCTCATCGCTTCGTAGAACGATGGATAGCACTGTACAGTTGTGCCTCGACTCTCACGACTGACCGAGGACAACAATTCGAGTCCGCATTATTCTTTTCACTGACCCGGCTGCTTGGTACGGAACGCATACGCACTACCGCATACCATCCAGCATCAAATGGTTAAGTTGAACGGTTTCATCGCCAACTTAAAAGTGCTCCTCGAGCACACGAAAACGACAATTGGTACGAAACCTTACCGCTCGTTCTCTTAGGTATCAGAACGAGTTTGAAGGCAGATATTCAATGTTCCTCCGCTGAACTTGTATACGGCTCGACATTGCGTCTGCCTGGGGGATTCTTCACACCATGGAGCAGTAACGATTTCGGTAAATCAGACTACGTCCATCGACTGTCTGCATTTATGCGAACACTGTCTCCGGTGTCAACTCGAATACAACGTCGATAGGTCGCTCTCCCTCGAGAGTTATCTACCTGTTCACATGTTTTCATACGAGTACATTCGGAACGCAAACCTCTACAACAGCCTTATGAAGGACCTGACGTGATCTCTCGTCACGAAAAGGCCTTCAAGGTTGATCGACATGGCCGCGTCGAGATCGTCAGCATTGATCGTCTCAAACCAGCACACGTCGATGACAGTGCCCTACCTGATAACTTGAGACTCAATGCTAGACCTATCAAACCTACTAGCGGGATCTCTACATTTACCTCGGATCCCACGCTAGACACATCAGAGACCTCGTTCCTACGTCCCGATGAACAGCTCGCGTCATCTGCATCATCTACGGACAGGACGACAGTCTCACGTCTAGATCGGCAGACCACGCCGCCCTTGACCTCGGATGAGATCGCAGGCTCACGAAGTACGAACGAGACTACCGTCTCACGTTCCGGTCGCCGAGTACGATTACCTGTACGCTTTCGCCACTAAACGCAGTCAATAACGGATACAGTGTAGGATTATTCCTATACTACACGCATGCTACACTTTTCTTTTTTTTTGATTTTTTTTTGTATCCTGAGCCCACGCCTCCGACCATCGTCCATTTGATAACGTCGACTTCAGTCAATTTTGGCAATAGCTGGTTTGGCCACCCATGCTCTAGTCAACGCACTCAGTCGATTATCTGGTCTCGAATTCGCCTGGCATACGCTTGGTGGTTATGGTCGCGTCCGGTTTCTTGGCTCAACGTGGTTTCGTCCTCCGTCTGCAGCGTTTTCTGGTCCGCATCCCTACGAACGCAATCATCAGATCCTGGATACAAACCACTCTGGTGTGGTATGCTAACTCGACCAACAAATACAGCACACTTCTCCTGGTACCGTTCTGCGCAAAAGAATTTCGTTGGCAACTCGAGGATCAATGATCACTTCCTGTTCCGCCAATTTTCTCCGTCCTACAACCGCACTTTTGCCGATCAGTCCCACGAATCAAACCGCTAACTATCGAAAGTGCAAACCCTTTCTAGCGGGGGGCTCCTGTAGTGACCTACTTTTGTCAACAGAACGCGATTGGATCGGTGAAAACAATTATTATTATAACCAATTGTACCAGAGATTGTTTTACTGTGCTCGTTTGTTCAACTGTGCTAATGACAGCCATTATACTTACTCTCCCGTTGACTTCGAACTTGTACGAATCCGGTTACGCTCAGTAACCACGCTTGTACTCCTTTGGCACGATCTCGGTATTCTTTCGATACCACGAGATCGCCAACAAATATATACGACTACTACAATCATCTGCCTTCTGATATTTTGGCCTATCGGAATTTTATTGGTCTATTGGCAAGTAGTCTGGTAGCGGTGTTCATAGTTCAGCTCAACTCGACACCACGCTACAAGGTAATCATTTTAAGACAAGCATTAATACTAAGAAAGCCGAATAATATATATTTAAGACTATGAGTGTGTAAATTGCCAACATCTATGATATGTATCGAGTGATCGGTGGCGTACTCGAGTTAGACAGGAAAGGTGTAAACATCTAGCTGACGTCGGAATCACACCTCACGACTAGCGTCTAACGTGGTTTACCCTTTTGTCATATCCGGGCACTATATCTATTGTCAGAAGGGAGTTTCGATAAGGAGTCCTATAATATGACGAAACGGCCGTCCAGTGGTTTGTAGACCACCAACGTAGATGATCGGAGGCCTGCCGGAGTTAGGCGTGAATGGTGTGACAAACTAGCGGACGTTGAAGTCACACCTCGCGGTCAGCACCTTGTGTGGATTACCCCCATTGACGTATCAAGGTACCATAGATGCTCTGAAGACTGTACACACAAAGGACGTTATTACAGAAGTACATTAGGTAAAGTAGATACAAGCGAAAGTGAGACCACTGCCGCATGTGCCAGTACATGGCGTACGACTATCTGATGCGCGTTCGTTGTCCTTGACATTGACGAAGATCGTTGATTTGTTCGATATTCAATGACCCAACTGCCGGATGATTTGGCTAGGGCTCAGTGCAATTTCACTGGCCCCACAGCTTCCAGGTTTACCATGGTGGTCTAGCTTCAATTGACTCATGATCTCAACAATTGAAACAACCATACCTATCTTGATGACCGTACAACACGAAAGACCTTTTTATTGAAATATACTAGTACGAGTGTGTGCAGGGAACAGAGCGCTACCACTGCTGCATGGGCCATGGACTGAAATTAACTGATGGTCGTTAGTTGACATTGATTTTGAAGGCAATTGGTGAACTGTTTCATATTCAGTGACCCGACTGCTTGAAGTAACTCAAGTTGAAAAAGATTTAGGAGTGCTGGTACCCTACAATTTGAAGTCTTATGATAACTGTGACAATAATGTCCATCGAGCAATCCTTGCACTGGTAACATTGAAGCACATTTTTGGCCTGTTTGAGGGAAGAACTTTCTGTATAAGCTTCAGCAGCTTCCTTCGTCCGCATTTAGAGTACGGAAACAATATTTCCTTCTTCATTCCAAAATGACAAGGACACTCTGGAACGTATTGAACGGTGAGCCGCAAAATCAATCCGGGTTTCAAATTCAAGCTTTATGACGAGCACCTCCAATCATTAAACCTTTATCCACTTGAGTACAGGCTTCCTAGATGTGACCTTCTAATGCCTTGCAGCATCCTTAACACTTCTGGACACCCCCTTAAGCACTTACTTAAGTTAAGCTCCAGCACAAACCCAAGGGGTAATACTCAGAAACTAGAGACACAACACAGAAAACGGACTGTAGATATAACTTCTACTCCCTAAGAATTATCAAATGCTGGAATTTGTTGCTGGATGAGCTAGTCCAAGTGACTTCCCAGGAATCCCAAGCTCCCAATTTTGGGGAAAATTTTACCTATTTTGGGGAAATGGCACAAAAACCCCCAAATTTTCCCAAAGCTTCCCAAAATTTGCCCAAGTTGGGAGCTTGGGATCCTTTAAGAGAAAACTTGATCTATTCTTAAGTACTAAGAATAGTATCTTACTATAATTTACCATTTTCTTTTTCTTCTTTTATCGTTAATATACTTAGGGGTCGCCTGAAGGTATTGGTGATCCACTGCTATTAGACACGGAAGCCCGTTAAGTGCTGGCTTTTTCTATCCCGTCCACAACCATTTGAATTTGAACCATTTGAATCTATTCAGCTTTAAAGCATATACAGTTATTAACTGTCAAATGATGTATCTCTGTGAGTATCTTAAAGATCGTATTACTTTTTTTGTTCGCAAATAAATCTCAAACAACAACCTAGACATTTAACATACCACAATTCATGTTATATTATGTGTTCTAATTGTTGAAATTTGTATTTTGTATGCCCCCGCTCGAATTGGTGGGGTGCGAATGGTTCTCTATATGTATTTCCTTCAGAAATGAGCTGAGTTCACTGACTTCCAATTTCCATATTTGTTACTGATTTTCATATTGGCTACTTACTTGTCAGTTATCTACAATGCGTCGACAACTGGATGGTTTTGATAGCCCTTGTATTTCAGAACGGGAGTATGTAAAGCTCCAGTACGGCCGTAAAATCGCTCAGGATACTTGTCTCCTAGCCACTATGAAAACTCCAGACTGGTCACACGGGTCTCCTGCATTTATTGGCAAACACAATATAGTTCCATGCACTGTGACCACCAATTCTGGCAATTCCACTCTTAAAATGTATCCTTACTCGGTGTATTCATGTAGGTTTAGCTCTTCTCATAAGATTGGACCTCATTAGATGTGGTTTACATGTTTCGGTATTATCGTAAATGGTTTTACTACTTTTTTTATTAGCGATGTGCTCTTCATGTTTGTTGTTTTCGCTACATCATTTATATGTAACGCCTGGTGTTTCTGATATTGACTTTATTTTTAGGATGATGAGGTCGAAGTAAGCTGGGGAACGCTGAAGTGACTTTAAGAATATTCACTTGCTTACTAATGTCAAATGAGAGATATAAGATAGTTCGGGAGACCAGGATTAGGATTCACAGTTGGACATTATGATTAAGGATTAGATGTAGGGTTTTCATTACGAGGTGACATGTGTTATAATGTCAAAATGCTATTTGGCTTAATGGATGTATGCATTACACTCCAAAAGCCATGACTGGTCTTAAAACTGATTGGATAGTCCATAAATTATAGTCTTGCCCAAATTTCTAAATACGTTACAGTCAGGCAGACTCGATTATATATCAAGCTTTTGCAAATTGTCTTTTAGCTTGGTAAAAGTAAGTAATCTGTTTAGTTTAATCCGTTCATTCCTACTAAGCCTACCATGACGCTTGTTATTGCTGGACTGACAACCTAAATGTATCTAAACATCCAAGTCCTATGATGTGATTTCTAGTATGGTAAGCGCTATATATTGAGCGAATCAGCAGTTATATAGGTTGGTTTATTCGACTTTCACTTGGATTAGGGTCGGCGATTCTATTTGACCTGTTGAATCTGTTTAGTTAAGATTCTTTGCTAAAACTGCTTTGGCAGTTCCTTTCGATTAAACGTGTTTTACTTATGTCGAGACATGACATATATATATATATATATATATATATATATATATATATATATATATATATATATATATATATAGTAGGGTGTTTACTGAGCGACAGGCTGTCGAGACTTATTTGTCCTTTCGTTTTCCCATTTTATTATTCAGCATTCAGACCCTTGGAGACAAAGTTCCATCCTCGTTTGGTGAGACAGGAATGTCGCATTAATTAGTATGTCGATTTCAAGACACCGTTTTTCTACTCGTAATTCTTCGGTTTATCATGTTTTCTCAGGGTAAACAATTGTGACGGAGACTTCCTTTAAAGTGTCATAAAAAATGTTAATACAATTATTTATTTACCTTTGTAGGTGCTTGTCAATCGGATCTCAGTCGATGTCACAAATATCGATCGAATTACTTGAGACATCGTTGCCTGTCTGGTCCGACAGTTGCTATGCTGCTTCCAACAGCGAGACACGAATCCACATATCTTTCACGCACTGCTGTCCACTCCTCAGTATTTCAAAGCTGTGGTCGCGGAGTAATAGACCAATCTATTCCGTTGTCTCATTTAGTAATTTCACACTCTTCAGGACCGAAGATGACGTCAAACTTATCACATCTCGATATATGTCCTAAGCCGCTTCCTTTTTTTGAACCTAACTACTTGTCCAGTACTGAATTTCATTCTACTCACGCATCTCATTCACGTTTTGCGTGTAGCTAAAATTATTTTTAGTGCTGGCGTAGTTTTAACAACTCAATGCATTTCTGATGAAGCTCGCCCAGTTAGTCTTATAGTCTCGATTCCTGTTTGTCTCGTCCTTTGCATTTAACTACTGGATGGCACATTATTACAAATTCTTTGTTCCTCATCACACAAATCTCAGTAATTTACCACCTAGTTATGCGAAGTTTTCACTTTTTCATAGTAGTATTAAGTGCAAGATTTTTATCATTCTTACCAACTTATGTTCCGTTCATTCCACTTCGGAAGTGCTTTTTTCTTTATGTCAGCAACTATTTATGCAATGGCGTATATGTCACGTCATTGATAGTTCGAATAATCTTCCTTGATTAGGTATTGGAACTAATTTCGTTTTATTCCAGTTCTTTTATACATACGCTTTCTACAGTTATGCTTTTTGTTTATATTTATTTATGTACTTCGTATGTATTGTGTTTACAGTTTTTTACGGATCTCTATGCTATTTATTGCTTTTAAAATGATCTATTTACTTTCTGGTCACACTCGACCACATTTCATTCTAATTATTAAGCTGATTACTATAATGTCCTTGGAATTGTTTTTAACGTGGCGTTTTCATTTTACAGAGGTGAAAAGCTCTTATAGTAGCAAAGCAGCTATTAATGTTAAGAACTCTATCGTTTGAGATTTTCACTCACTGTGTGCATAGTGTCTTACCGCTAGCAGTTAAAGATATGAATAATATGCCTTGTCATACTCTACAATATCATGTAGATGGTCAAGTTTCACATACAAGATTACTTCATGCTACCTTGCCTTCATTCGGACATCGAGCACTAAAATCCCCTTTTCACAAATTAGTAAGTGATGATAGTCACGATTCTAAAACATATGACTACTGTAAATGTTTTAGTGTTGTTTATTTTATTGTCAAGTCTTTAACCATTTAAAGGCTTCGTTCGCATCGTTCATTCCGCATAATATTGCTACATTATTTATTTAATCAGCATGAATTTGATTACTTCACACTTCACATAGGTGGTTCCCTTCATAAATTCAAATAAAGCAGAAATGACAATTGAGGCATAGTGTGGATTTGTCTCATTCCATAGTTTTTCATTCACTGCTTACAACCATATTTGTCGTAAAGTGTAACTAATATAATGTAGAGTAGTCGACATTTGTTCGATTACCTACTTAGCTTGAGATCATCCATGCTACCACAGATTTTCATTGTCACTATATGGATTAGTTGCTCATGTATTTAGGGTTGTGAATAAGAAGATCTAGAAAAGCCATTGATGAAAACAATAATCTCGGTTACCTTAAAGAGACAATGTAGTTATCCTCAGGTGTGCTACTCGGGATTATTAGCACTCATTTACTGATAATTCGAATTACCACTTCAGACTTTGTACACGAAAATGGCATGATTACTCAGTCTGTATATCAATTTTGATATGGACCACACTGATGCCCAGTAAATACTCCTCAGTCAGTCATGCGTAACGTAAGACCTAGCACGCGTACATCAACCCAAAACGTCACCTTGTTAACAGCAAATCTCAGAGCTGTTGAGATAATAAGAGAATAAGTTGTGATGCGAAAAACTAGTTATCGAGGATGCAGTTTTAGGGGAAAGCATAAATTAGTGGGGTGGCAAGAAGTCACCAATTAGTCTAGGTACTTGGGATCTAAGATAAGGCAGGGCGAATGTCCCTATGTCATTGCAAACGATCCTTGGCCACGTCGCCCAGTATTCAACCGTTAGTTGCAATGATTGGGTAGTCTGTACGTACCCATATGGTTCAGTTCAGTTAGTGTCTTCATCGTTTGAGTGTCTTGCACTCCTTTCCAACCAAATCCGACGTCAGCTGTCATCGGACGTGGAGGTTGTCAGTGAATGAGCACGTGTAATACATGTTTTGCCATCCTTACTTAGTGCCCTGATTCTAACTTCTAAGATGGAGCGAACTGGTGCTCAGTAAACTCGTCCTTTAGTTGAGAGACTGATATGTCGCTTATCCGACAAGTGGTGCGAGCTGACGAACGCAAACCGAGACCTCGTCAGATCAACCCACCAGGGATGACGAGGTCTACAAAAGTGAAGTAACTGATCGAATTACTTTCTTTGTTATCAATGATTTAGGCGCTGACCTAGGCTGGTCCTGAAGCAATCTCCTGCATTCAGAAAGAGATCATTCCATACATGGTAGGATTGTTGTTCAGGGCGGTTAGAACACTGCCTTAATACCATCTTCATTTGCATACTTGGAGTCAACAAGTAAATCACCTGATAGAAGACCGGTCCTTGATAAATAAGAGGATGAGTGTAGTCTCTAGAATGTCTGAATGAATTACGTGGAACACTCCTGATGAACACTTGGGATCATCAATCTCGCTGACAGTTCGGTATAAGCTTTGACTCCAGTAGCTTTCGAGTAGAGAGCCCGTGCAAGGTCGATGTAACCCTTCGGTACATCTTTCAGTGACACAATGGCATAAAATCTTCCTATATACGGGGTCGGATTCTACCTTAAGGTCAAGAACTGCAATTAAGGCTGGGAGTATGTAGGTATATCCGTGTTCCAGGGTCTGTAAAAGGAAAAACATTTGGTCTACACGTTCATGTTAATACTTAAAACCAGCTTAGTTCCCCCGAATTACTATTTGATAGTAGTTTATTCACTTACGCTTGATACAAATATTTTATTAGTCGTCACGAGTTTATGAAATTATTTCTAAGGCGATTAATTCATATTTGAATCTATCCAATTATGTACTGATTACATTCAATGAAATAATCGTTGAAGAGTTTATTAAACCGAAAAAATGTCATATCACTGGAAAATCACATGATTAATTAAAACAACGAAAGGCACTTGAACAGAGTTTCAAAGCCAATGAATGGTGTTGCATTTGGTTTCTAGTATACTGTACTTGAGGCTCTAATATCCTCAACACATAAGTTCTTCGGAATACTTATTTTTCATTGCAGATGAAAACAAAGTGCGTATGCTTTTGCTAGCGCCCCCAAATGCCCTGGTACGGCCGAGAATGGAGAGAGTCCGCTCTCTCTCTCGAAATGCTCTCACATGGCCACGCGTATATAGCCTCTGCCAGGGAAGTCCTACTCACTGCCTTCTCGTGGCGGGGGTGTTGTTTACGAAAATGAGAGGACGAAAAGCGAATGTCCGGCGCTTTAACCGGATCCCAAACCAATGGTGCACATGGGCTCTAGTGTCCTGAAGGAACAAATGGCGTATGAACCAATCGTTGGTCACCGGCTACCATGGGACCGTATCTCCTCACGATGCTTCACTTCCTTGTGGGTCAGACGTTCAGGTCGAAGGCTCCGGTTGTGGCCCCCTAAGAAAACCACCTGCTTCGGTCCGGGCACCCGGGCAGTATCACAGCCCTCACACAAATCAATTGAGATTTGTGTGGCGCATATGTATTTGGTGCCTCCTTGTACCAATACCTATGTGTTAAAATAAATAAATAATGCTTTTGCTAGCAATTGACAACGAACTTGTTCAGATTTGAAGGGGATTTTTCCTTCTGATTTATTTCATAGGATCAGTAGGATAATTAAACTTCGTCAGTCTCGTCTAATTTGGAAGTATATTGCAGATTGGAATTAGCATTTGGAGACAACCTTATCAATAATAAGAACTATTCTCCAATTTTTTGGACCACAAGCTGATTTTTAAGTAAGTAATTCTGTAAATAAATGTGATCATATGTATCATGCGATATTTTACTAGCGATGTGTTATATTTAACGAGAGTTGTACGTTTCCTTAAAGTAGCGAACTTTTCACCCACATATAGATGTATCATAAACGATTTCCTAGTAGGTTCCCTGCAGGAAATTAGAGTTTATTTTAACAACTTTGATACCACACATTATTTTGTAACATATGAAGAAGCGATCATCGGATTATTATTTCTGTACCAAACTAAAATAGTCCATCTTTGGTCACAGTTCATCACGAGCGATACATTTACCATTTAGTTGATGGAATACGGCTTTCATTATTTTAAACAAAACTGGTTTGTCTTATGGACGAATATTCTCTCATATGGTATTCATGTCATGACTATAATTTACGTTACTATGTTCATGTACTGTCCGAACCTAATTTTTAATGTGTTTAAGTATCAGTACTCTGTGTCATAACTATGAAGGGTTGTCACTTTGAGTACAAAAGATCTCGAACGAATGATTAGTCAAAGTAGGTAAATTTAAAATAGGTTATTATGTAGGAATATTTTAAAAATAGGTGAGTGGTATTATGTGAACTAGTATACACGTTAGATTTTCTAGAAAATGAAGCTCAGAAACCTTGATCTTAAGTAACCACTGTAAGTCGACGTGAACGAAATTTAGAATCGTCATTAAGATTCTGTGTATTTTTCTCAATTCTAATCACAGACAAGGAAGCGAATATGATAGTAGTGGTTAAATATTACTCTTATGAAAATGTCAACTGGGAAAATTCAAAAAGGAAACGGAAGTAGTGCTTATAAATCTAATAAGGTTAAAGAAAATACTAGATGTTCACTTCTTGATAGTTTGCTGACATTAAAAAACAAGGTGACATTCGTGGGTTTTGCTTAAATTTATGAATTTTAGTGAATCTTATTCCAAAAAAGATAAATGTAAATCAGACGTAATTAATTTTAGATTTTCCCGAAATCATTGGACTGATTTTATCACCAGTCATCTGCAACACCCTTGGAGCTTCTGCTACTGTTGTCGTTTTAGTAGTTGGAATGTTGGTTCTACCAACTACAATTGATGTTGTTATTAGTGATTTTGTAATATCCCTCAGTTGATCCTTTTCATCTGGAGATTTTTCTTCTAAGTCTTCGAGTTTTAACATAAAATTCTCTGTAACTTTATGCTCTACTTTAGTCTGGTTCGATTGGTACTTGGATTTCTGTTTAATCGGTGATTTTTTATCGTTGTCATCACCGCTTACTTCTGGTACGAACGCGAAGTCCATTTCGGAT